ATGATCTGGAATTCCTAGACAGTGACCTCGGTAGTTAATCAGGTTTCGGTCAGTCCGGACGACGAGAGGCAACGAAGTGATATAGGTCGTCACGTTTGCTCATTATACCACGAACATTTGTGAAGGGTACGCTCAGGCGGCGATAAGGACCGTCGGGAGCCCATAAGGCGTCATCGACCTGTTGATCCCGGTTCGGCAGACCCGGGAAACTACCAGAAAATTTTCGGTGCGGAGATTACTCTCCCTACTACCGGAACGTTGCTCCAAATCAATGATAGCGGATTTCAGTTTCTCTCGGTCCGACGGATCCATAACTGGACGAATATGGATCTCCAACCCTTTTAGTCTACCGAGGCAAGATAGTACCAGTCTCGGATTCGCGTCCTCTGCAAAGCTCACTCGTAGAGGCTGAGTCTTTCTCTTATCTCTTTTGTCAAGCCGAGTGTTTTGCTTCACCCTCAACCCCTGTTCACCCCACGCTGAGGAGCCTAACAATCAGGCTCTGTAGAAATTCGACATCGCGATCAGAACGAGCCTGAGGATTCGTATCCGTTGGCTCAGGCGCGTGGAATATCATACGGTTGCAACGTCGCTGTTCGCTGGCAGTTGTTCTCTCCCTCTTACTTCGTTGCGTTTGCCAATCGCCTGCTTCAGTCGCGTTATAGTATAGCGGATTGCCAGCGCTCATGGGGCAGGTCAGCTAGATCTGCAGTAGCGGATGGACATGGCACTGAAGAGTTCACAGCCGGCGAGCAAGTAAGTTCGTTCGAGCTTGGGAGTGGCCGCATGTCAGCCTTCTGAGGTGAACACACGGAGCTCCTCACCTTGGAACGCTATGCCTTCCTTACTGGCTCGCGACATTTATCAACTTCTTGCTGTTGCATTTTACTCTTAAAATGCTTGCAAAATACTTAGACACAACCATTTTTAATCTCAGGTAAAAGACAAAATTGCTCAATGGCAAGACGAATACACGAAACAGGAAAATTGACACGACACAAAAAGTAAACAACTGCATGTGCTCGATGACCAACGATTTTGCAGCAATAAATCACGGGATGTTTGATTCGTCATCACTACAACAAATAAGTGGGAAGACTAAAGATTCGAGCTATGGACGATGATTGACTGCATGAAAGCGACACCAAAAATGTAGACAGAAGACGAATTTAAGATAGATAAATTCTGAATCTAAATCGAGACGGAATTCAAGGAAAACACAAAAACGAGGTGTTGCACAAAGTAATAAACGAAGCGAACTGGCTTGACAGTGGAGATTACAAAGTAGACCGGCGAGGGCTAAAACTCCAGTGCTGCTGATGATGGAAAAGTCCAAAGAGAACTTTGAATATTCCGCCAAATTGGTTTACCTATTGAGGACATAATACGCATTTTTCCCAAACCCTTCATACATATCCTTACAAAATTTATACGTTTTCTTTTAACACTTGCATTATGAAACACTTTATGTTTTCACTTTGCATTACTGGCATATCCTTGACACTTCAAGGTTAAACATTTCATCCTTGACAGTCTGCCGATAAGCGAACTGTCACGTTGACACAAGTCTTGTAGTTTCTGCCCTTTTCTATTACGATTGCAAACCTATTCGTAAGCTGATTACTGTATTTAATTTGTAGTATAGAACCACGGCAACAGTAGGCTAAGTTTTAATTTCTCAGCCCAGACCGTGCGTATAGTATAGGTTTATTAGCCTACAGTTCCCGTTCCATCTCGTGTGATTAGCTAGTCCAGACTTCGCATAGTCTTTACAGTGATGATGATGATAATGAATTAGCATGATAATCCCTGCCCAGCACTCGCCTACGCACATCATAGTTGCAAACACGATGGTGCCATCGGACACCAGGCATGCTTTGGTTACAACGATGATCAAAGACTTGAAGGCGCCGCAGGTCCTCGCAACGAAGGAGCCAAGTCTCACTCGCACATATTGTGATGGGGCATCCTGTGATCTTGTAAACACGGTCTTTCAGACCGAGGGAAACTCCTTTCTGACGCCAAAGATTAAAGAATGCAGGCCTGATTTTTGCAATACGTAAACTGACTCAGTGGTTATGAGCCCATGGTTGCTGGTGCAGCTAGCTGCCAAGGCAAGTGAATCGATCAACCACCTCGAGTTCCTCGTTAGCAAAGGTCAATGGGTCATCAAGTGGCTGGAGGTCCTGCAGCAACACTTTACACTTTGAAGATGTGAAGTGCATGTTAAATGATGGGACCACTCTAGAGAGGTTATTCAGGGTTGATTGTGCCGTTTCAACATCGAAAGTTAGCACGACAATATCGTCTGCATACTCAAGATCAACTAGCTTTTCACCAGGCAGCACCACAACAATTGTGTCGTATGATCCCGCAAGGGAACACTCCATGATGGAGTCCAAGACGAAGTTGAACATCATCATCATCATCATTATACACGTAAGTTAGTGGTGTAAAACACCTCAGTTATTGTGCCGCAATACATAAAAGAAAGAATGCAACAGTTGTATGCCAGCTGAGCTATCAGCAACGGATGGGCATCGTTCCGGTAAGCTACCAGCCGGCTACTAGTCAACAAGAAAAGTCATTATGTAAAATTATATTATGCTACGAAATGAGATCGTGGTTGGAGGGGAGGCTTAGAGGCATGGGGTGGGACAAAGAAACTCACAACAGGAATTCCACTGAAGTCGGCTCCTAGTCATGCCAGCAAGTATATCTAGCTAAATGTGTTCATCCTCTTTTGGACCCCAACCAGGGAGCCGAGACGCTCCGACCGATGCCAGCTTCGAAGTGAGGGTCTTCATTCCTCTCGACCAAGTCATCGCTTGGTCACCTCTCCTCTTTTTTCCTCCACAACCCCAGCAAGCAAACAACGCACGTCGCCGGAGTCGGTGGGCTGACATGCGTAACATGTGGCCGAGCCATCGGAGCCTGGTGCGTGAAATGACGGTGCAGAGCGGTTCAGTTCCTTTTCCTGTGCTGTAAACAAGGCGTCGAAGACCCACGTTGCTCACACTGTATTCCCACCGGATGTGAGCCAAACTGCGAGGGCACCGGTGGTCGAACGTACCTAGCCTCTTCGTGTCCGCTGAACAAAAATAGGGAAAATGGACAACCCGGACGAAGGCCAATTCTTGTCCGGAAGGCATCTGATAAGTCACCGTAGACCCTGATGCGGCCTGTGGACACGTACAATGTTCACATACGTTTCAGTGTAAGTATGTCGAAGAGGTTGGGGCGATCGATTGAGCCGAAAGAGGCCCTAAAATCGGGGAACGCAGCTATTATCCGTCTGTGGTACGTGTGACGTTCTAACACGTTTCACAGAGTGAACACCTAGTCATACAACCCAGTAAAACCTACCTGTTCTGCACTAATCTGGGGTTACATTTGAACGAAGGCGACAAAAGAGAATTGTGGTTAGTAATTTGGTCACCACTGGCGTTAAGCTGATAGACCTGTGGTTAGCACATTTAGTGTGACTGTGCTTCTTGTATTTTGCCACTACGGGATGGTCTGTTCCTTCCATACCTGTCTGAACAGGTGGGTCAGTGTTTTGGAGGGAACCACGCCACCAACCTTAAATTATGCGGCTTGAAAGAGATCCAGACCAGCAGCTCGAAAACGATTGAGAGTTGTGATCGTGTTTCAACCTTCGATGGAGCAATGGCTCGGCCTGAACCGCATGAGCGACAAAAAACACAAGTGCAGAGGGCAACTGAACTGCTATCAAAAGTGCTCCACACAACGAGACAGTCGTCAATTTCTATTGTGAATTAAGGTACGCGCGCTGTGTATGATTATCTCACTGACGTCTGGATTTCTGGGACCTGTACTGCGGATCAGTGGAAAAAGCTGGCAATGATTACATAATGCTCCTGCATTCTCCAGACTTCCTTGTCAGCAGACAAGCTCTTCGTTGGTTTGTGTTGAATAGTCCATCTGGTTACATTGCGATCAGAGTTAGCAGGGCCTCTTGGATTCCAACAGGATCATCGACCTCTCAGATATACAGTGACTGGCACCATGACAACTGACTGATAGGCATGCCTGACAGGTGAACGGGATAACTTCTCAGCTGCCAATTGATGGAGGAGCTTGATACGCCTCAGTGCAAAATGCATGGAAAAACGACAGCATGTCAAGGCATGATCAGATTCGATGTAAGCATTCCAAAACAAGCGACAATGCAGGATGGAACCACGCCACTGCAACTTAAGGTAACGCGATCTACTTGGGTCCATCGCTGGCCAGCTATAAGTGGACGCCATTTGGCATTGTGTCTAAAAGCAGTAGTACCAAGAAACAGCTGGTGTTCAGTGCACAGTTGTAACAGATGCTCGCCGTTGTCAGTCGGGTCGGAGTTAAGCTCATAGCTATCCCCTAAATGAGATTCTGAAGATCTCAGACGACATAGTTGCACAATCATGTCCCTTGAAACAATATTGAGATCTGAACTGGTAACACTGCCTGTCAGTGCGTTCAATTTGTGGCATCAGGTGATCATAACAACATTAGGACTGCAGTCGGTGGGGGGGGGGGACAAACAAACAGCAGGTAGTGGTACATAGTGAATTAACCCGAGAGTCGATATCGTTAAACGGGCACCACACAAACGGCTATTCACGGAAAGCCAATTAACCAACGATGACTCCGCCTTCGAGCTGAGATCGATGCCCACCCCAGCTTAACCAATGATTACAAAATGAAAGGATCAAGCGAGATGAGATGTCGTCAAGCATACACCCTGCAGGATTCCAGTAGCGCACAGTGAGATGAAAATGATCATTTGTCCTTCATGACTAGCGAACTAATCTTCGTTACCGAAGCTAGTGCGCTCTATTGAAGTAACTACTTCGCCGACACACGGTGATGAGCCAGGACTAAGGTGATAATTTTGAACTCTAGTGGGATGCGCAAAACTGAAGGGATCCATGCAGAAAGCAAAGTGAATACAGGCAAACAAATGATCTAATAAATACGACGAGTTTGCCCACCTGTGTAAACAAAGCCGGATGCTGGAAGCGAGGTCACTGGTGACGAGAGCCATCTTCAGGATGTTCAAATTTGCTATGGCCTTTGAATGTGCTGTGAGGTACACAAGAGCGTACCATAAGTGAACAGAAAACAAAATTAAAAGAGGTGTATCGCAAGTGAGAAAGGGGGCCAATGGTTAAAACAACTGACTGCTGTGGATTCTACATGACTTATAACAATAGGTATTGCTGTCTTTGTGTACACTGTTGGCTTTCGGAATGCTTATCGTGTGCTTTGATTGTGACATACCATCCCAATCGAGACATGTATGTATGTATGTAGTCTCAACAGTCTATCAACTAGACATAGAGCCAGCAAAAACCATGAAGATCAGCAGATAAGCAAGATTCGTCGTGTTTTTTAACCATCGTGGCATGCTAGTTGAAGGTGAGCAACACACTTCAACTAATATGCCGCAAGGAAGAATGGAACATGTTGATAAAAAGTAGAACAAAACATTTTTAGTTTGTTTTTCACACGCCGGTTTTGCTCTTTTTTTGTCATTTTAATCTTTATAGTATTAATCACGTGAATCAATACAGTACTGTACATAATTCTTCCATTGATTCCGGTTGTGGGCCAAATCTTCAAGAATGCTAAGCCATTGGCACTCCTCATCTTTGGGTTCCCATCCTGGAAGACGTACGGATCCAACAGCGGCTAGACACGACGTCAGCGATTTCATGTGCTGCCGCCAAGTGGAAGGCTGACCACCACGCGGTCGCCTCCAGCCAGGTCCTTGACGAGCGAATAGAGCGCGACGCGGTAGACGCTCAGGTGCCATGCGTAGGGCGTGACCGAGCCATCTCAACTGGCGCAGCAAAACCAGTTTGTTGAAGGGAATACTGGCATTCCCCAAGATGCGACGTCGAACGTCATTACAATTGACTCGATGTTGCCACCAAACACGAGCGATCCTCCTTAAGCAATCGTTATCGAACGCAGAAAGACGACGCATGTCTTCCACGCAAATCGGCCAGGACTCGCTCCCATACAACAATACTGCGCGAACTGATGCGCTGTAAACGCGGCCCTTTAGTGAGAATGAGACGTCGCGACGACGCCACAAATGCCTCAGATTGACAAATGCTGATCGAGCTTTAGCGATACGAAGCGAAACTTCTTTGTTGATAGTGCCGTCAGCAGAAACACAGCTCCCAAGGTAGACGAAACTATCTATTTGTTCAAGTTGTGCATCTTCGACAGTGAGTACGGGAGCAGGTGAAAGCCAATCCTTGAGCAGTACTTTACACTTCGATGGGGAAAAGCTCATGCCATACTTAGATGCTTCAACCGTCAAACGATCCAGAATGAGTTGCATACTCTGAGGATCGTCACCAAGTAAGGCGATATCATCAGCATAATCTAAGTCGGCCGCGCGCTCACCCGGTAGAAGCTCTAAGCCAAAATGTTGGAAACCTTCTAGGGCATTCGACAGAACGTCTTCGATTGCGAAGTTGAAGAGGAATGGGGACATAGGGCAGCCCTGTCGCACACCGCTATTGACAGCGAATTGCGAGGAAAGCTTGCCATAGACCCTCACTCTGCCGGATGTATGAAGGTAAAGTGCTCGTAAGATGGCGGTATATTTCTCTGGCACCCCGTCCTTTAGCAAGCAACGCCATAAAGCCGGTCGATCAAAGGAGTCAAAAGCGGCACGTATGTCCAGAAATACAATGATAGTGGACCTGTGATAAATGTGGCGATGTTCAAGGTGCTGGTGGAGCGTGAAGATTTGATCCACGTATCCGCGTCCAGGAAGGAAACCAGCTTGTTCTTCACGGTAGTATGATTCACGTACTGGGGATAGCATGCGAAGCAGAATGGATGCCAATAGCTTAGAGGCAACCGAGATAAGACTAATCCCGCGATGATTTGCACATGAAGTGCGAGCGCCTTTCTTGAAAATCAAAGCAATAACTGATTCTCCCCAAGTGGAAGGCACTTTCTCTTCATGCCAAATTTTTGCGAACAGCGCGGTCAGCTGGTTAATGATCGCCACACCGCCGTACTTGAATAGTTCAGGAGGAAACCAGTCTAAGCCGGCAGCCTTGAAGCGTTTCAAGCGTCGAATCTCGAGGCAGACTTCCGCTTCGGTGGGTGGATTCAGAGGGACGAGCCAGGGTGGACAACAACGTGTACTGCATATACTGAAGGATGGTGGAGGCCAGTTGAACTGCGAGTGAAAGTGCTCGGCCCAACGGTTCATACGTCTCTGTTGGTTGGTGATCGGAGACTCATCCACCTCACAAATGACCTCACTGACACCAGGCTTGCTGAGGACAGTGAACCGAATGAGTTGGAAAAGTCTGCGAGTGTTGCCAGAAAGGGCAGCAGTCTCCATCACTAAAGCACGCTCAGACCACCATGTCTCGCGATCCTTGCGTAGACTTTGCTTGAGCAGCCGGTTAGCAGAAAGGCGCCGCTCGTTGCAATCTGATTCCGCAGGGATATCTTTGCGGCGTTCGAACAGCTCCAGAGAACGAGTAGAGATCCAAGCCTTCAAGGGGCGTCGCGTTAGGCCGCAGCAAGACTGTCCGGAAATGGTCATTGCCTTCCGTATACAAGTCCAGTGTTGTTCCACTTCTTGTGGTGGATTGCAACTGAGTGCATATGCCAATGAAGGCTGATAGCTCGCCTGGACAGAGGAATCAGTTAATCTGTTTACATCAATCTTGCGGTGCCTCGTGTTTCGGGATCCTCCAAAACACATACAGATTTTCGCGCAGACCAGAGCATGGTCTGAGTCGACGAAGGTGGACCAAAAGGACCTGCAGTCCAATACGCTGCCGCGCCATCTGAAGCTAATTGCAATGTGATCAATTTGAGACCACGGTTGTGTTGAAGAAGGGGGACGCCACGTTGCGGAACGCTTCTTCGTACGCCTGAAGTTAGTGCTTGAAAGAAACAGACGGTTGTCTTCGCACAATGTGAGAAGTCTCTCTCCGTTATTACAGCGGTTCTCATCGAGTGCGTGATGACCACCAAGGTGGCGTTCGTATGGTAACAGGTGGCCAACCCGTGCATTAAAATCCCCAGCAAGGATAACGACATCCGACGTCTTAGCATTAGTCAAGTGCTGTTGTAGATCCCGGTAGAATTCCTCCTTGACCGAGTCGCCACTGCAGTCAGTTGGGGCGTACACGGAGATCACAAACAAGTTGTCTCTCTTCGCGGTGCCTGTTGCTTCCACACGAACCCCGAAGCCGAACTGCACATAGTCGGCTGTTAATAGGGAACCAGTCCAATCGAGACACGGTATGCTACGAAGCAAATCTCGGTCATTTCGATCACGAGGACCGCATCCGAGGTGTCGCTCGCCCCCGCCCCCGCCCCCAACACGGCACCTTACGACCGGTTTCGTATTTGTTTAGACACATCAGGCAGAGATGACCAAATAACATCAGTCGATCCCTATGAATTATTTTGGAAAATGATTCTCGGACAGTACGCGTAGTCATTGCAGGCAATCGACGAGTGACTGAGTGATGAATACGTGGAGGCATCAGTCGGAAGGTAATCATGGGAATACTGTGCTACGATTGTATAGGAGTCGAGGCTGTTATGTAAAAGAGACACGGATAAGTGAGGGACGTTGTGGACCCTATTTAAGGGTTAACAAGTAGATTTGGTAGTACGACGTGGCAAACTCAGTATCGGGGTCCCAAGACGAGATGCGATAAAAAGGTGAGCGTTTTCTATACTCACGGTTTTCCTGCCCTTGCAACGAGTCAGATGATTCCATCAGAGTCTTCTCAATGTGAGACTGGACGCTTTGACGGTTGAATCCCAGTTGATCGGAGACAGCGGAGACCAGTTGGTCAGCAGACCGCAAACGCACCTATAACATACGAACAAACGGTGTTGATATCCTCCTCAAAATGATAGAAGACAGGCAAACAAAACAACTATTGACTACAGCGCTATCAGGAAACATTAAAAAATATGACAATGTAACCCGGCACAAGCGAGGGTACACAGACTGGAGCGAGGAGATCGACAATCCGATACGTGATCGCACATTTGAAATTAGGTCAGTAGAGAAACTACGGTTAAAATACTGAGGTGCAATAGAAACAGCCGCTATACACTGCGAAAGCAAATAAATGAGAAGAAAAGCGAAGAGGGATAGAGCCGAAATCATAAAAACACCAAATGAAAGACGAATTGGAAAAACAAATTCAAAATGCTGGATGGGAGGGTTGACTGTGAGTGCTCAAACGCAAATGCGCGAGTAAAATTGCGACTAGACCACATCAAATAAAGCGTTAAAAATTTTTAAAAATTACTGGTGTGTAGTGACGATTTTCAGGCAATGTCAGAGGTATTTCGTCGCAGTCTCCTCCAGTCAGCAAGTTTTGACGCATCTGAAAAATCATCAGATAGGTGTTTCGACGTTTCTGGGTCGCATCAGTGGTGTGCCTTCCTCGGACCCCTGCCGGGTTCCGACCCCATGACTTCCGGATGCCGGCAGCTTGTGCTATAGCAGTGAACGATGAGTCCGGCTACATCGTACTCACCCATGATTTAGTGACACAGGCGACTGGCATCCGGAAGCCATGGGGTCGGAAACCAGCAGGAGTCCGAGGAAGGCGCACCACTGGCGAGACCCGGAAGATCGAAACAGCTGCCTGGTGCTTTTCCAGACGCGTCAAAGCTTGTTGACTGGAGGGAACTCCGATGAACTACCCCAAAATTTTTGAAAATTACTTGAAACCGATCAAGAACTCATGCTTTAAGAAAATATTGAAAACAATCAGTTCATATAGTTTGCCGGCAACGGTTCGCTTTCGACACAAAAGATTCGTCAAACCGAGTGAATCACTGGATGATTGGTGCAGTCATTTAGCAAACTGGGATGAAACTCGCAACTACTAGCATGTGGGTACAAGGTTAATCGCGTTACAGATCAAAGTGTCACTCCAAGCGGTGAATGGAACGGTCACAAGTGGTCCACGTTACGAGCTCAGCACACGTAAACCTCTGATATGGCCGACTATCCTAAGAAACAGTGATTCGATAAACTACCGCAGAACTCAACCGGTAGTACTCGCTGGCTAGGTGGCGCAAGTTGGCAGTGGTCATGAGTTCGGTTCTGGATGAAGCCGTGGCATGCGCACTACTGACGAGCCGCAATAGGGCGAAACGGTAGCTCGGTGCCGATCCGAATTGGGGCTAAAGCTATTCGACTTGGGAGCTACTGAGATAAATTCAACAAAATTTCATCAGACTCTTCTACTCACTAGTAAATAGAAGTTTAAATACCTCATTGACAGGTACTTCCATGTTTCCCGGCAGTCAAACTGCAGAAGAGGCTACTCAGTGAGGATAAAGGGAAGAAGTGGCGTTGTAACGCCTCGATCATATGTGGAAAGTATAAAATTCTGTTTATGGATAAGATGCAAAACGTTGCACCACAGCCGATGCCGTTGCAATTACCCGGAAAAGTTTCCAAGGAAAAATTCGGAATGAACTGCATTCGAAGCTTGATGGTTCGAAAAAGTCCTCGAGATATGTGCATAAACCGTCCAACTCAGAGACTGGCTGACTGATGGCTTCCTTAAGCCAAGTTACCAAGGCCTGACGAGTGTCAACCATATTCCCTGCGGATGCTTTCAGGCCAGGGACACAAGAGTCGTACGCCGTATCGATCCAGCTCAAGTGCACGATTTTACCAACGGAGCCTACAATGGCCGGAGATGAGGGAGCAGAAACAAGGCCGGTCGATGCCGTAGATTGACTGAAGGAAGATCGAGTGCGCAGTGAAGAGTCGTGAGAGCTGGTGGTGAACCAGACGAGACGACCGCCGAACTAAAAGCAGGAAAGAGCGTAAGGCAAATATATGAACGAGATGTTCGGAGTAGACTGCAAAAACCACAAAAGCAACAGTTGAAGACTGAGGTATAAAAGTATCAGTTTGACGATACAATAAGTGGATAAAACTCTCTGATATGAATTCGCATGGCGATGTTATCTTACGATGGAACGGCACACAGAGATATAGGCTGTTGTGGCGACCAAACAAGTAATCTGATCAAGTAGTTGCAACGAATGTTCGGTTGAAATAGAGTTCCGATTCTCCACCCAACTATACCAAGCTATGATAATAATAATAATAATAACAATAATAATAATAATAATGCGTATAGTCCTTGATCATGTGAGAGGCTGCCCCGGAAATAGTACAGTGGTGGGCATGCTCATGCATCAGTGATATACAAATTCTGAAGCGTTTGTCATCAGAACATTTTGAAATACATGACATCCGTTAGTGCTAAGTTTTGTGTAACATCCTTTCTAACCGGTTATATACTACTTGGTTCATCCTGGAGGAACTCATTTGGAATTTGCCAGATGAAAACCGGATCATGGTGGATTTCTGGCCCATGAAATCTTGAAGTTTAATATGGTATGTACTTGCATTTGTACAAGACCAGATAGTGCCCAGTACGCTATTCCAAACGACAGCGTATCTAACGAGGAAGAAGTTGGATCGAATAGCTGTCTTTGTTCTTGGCACAATTAGTTTACAAGTTTTGTTGCGAAGTTTACGGGTGAAATTATGTCGCAATTCTAATGTGCATAAATTGGGATATGTATTTTGGTTTATGAGATTGCGAATGACCGTCGAGTTATGTTTCATTCGTCGCAACCAAAGAGACTCGAGGTTAAGTTTCTAGCAACGCTCTTGATAGCATAAGGTGGACGATTTACTGAACAAACGTTCAGTGAATGATCTGTACAAGATTTTCAGAGTTATCCTGCCACCCAAATTCATGTTCCCATAAATGATGCCGTCGTATTCAAGGTGAGGAAGTGCGAGGATTTTGAAAGGGACTGTATGGGTTTTATGGCATATGTTAGCCATAGATTGTTTGGCGCGTGTTATTTAATACACAGTCTGCTGAGAAAATGTAGTTTGAAGAATATCGTATGCCTAGATCACGGTTAAACAGTTTCACACAGATGCGTTCATTGTTCAAATTAATTAACATTTCAGGGATCAAACACCCGTGTGATGTGATACACGAGAACTTAATCATCCATTTGTCGCACCATTTCTCAAGTGAATCGATGTCTCCACAAATCAGCAACATTGTGCTCTGGAGTTCGTCTCGTCAAAATTTATAAACAATCTTAGTGTCAGTGGCGAGCAAAAATGGCGTGCCATGTTTGATGGACATCATGATATCGGCAATATAAAGTAGGAGAAGAGAACAACCCAGTAGCCTCCCTTGGAGGAAACCACTAGTGACTGGACCTGGGGGAAGACCATTATTGGGTCTTGGAGTACCCGCCGTGACTGGATTGAGACACACAATCTCGATGGAGGGTACAGTGTGCTCTGAAGCAAAATTATACCATTTGGGTCACTGGGGCCGCATCCGAAGTGGGGAAATTCGGGGCTGCTTTTTCCCAACACTGCATTCCACAACCGACCGGTTTCGTCCTGATTTGGACACGTCAGGTAGAGGTAGTTTGAGCAGAGAGGGGAAGAGATATGGTTACTCTGGTAACGCTTATTAAGGTATAATGTCAGCAGGCCCAGTAGGGAGTTTCTGATGCAAAATGACAATGTTTTCAGTAGCCGCTGGCAATGCCCTCAGCTGAATGCTTTTTACATATCCAAAAATATTATAATTGCATAATTAAAGTCAATGGATTCTGTGACGTAATGCAGGCAGTGCAAATGACAGGTAGTACAGGAACGTGTATCAAGGAACTCATGCTGGCAATTGTTAAGCAGTCGCAGACAATAGATAAAGCTCATGATTCCACTTTTCATGAAATTTTAGAGCAATCTGGCAATTAAAGGAGTGTGATGGATAAGCTGATATTTAGCAACATTTCCAGTGATCCGGAAAATGGCCAGATAATAATGACAGGGCAAACATTTTCAGTAAAAGCAACGATGTGCCCGGTGCGCGGAATTTGATGACGAATAGGGGGATGCCATCGGAATCACATTCGGTCGATGGTTTAAGGGATATCATAGCCCGTTGCACTTTCGGAAGATAAATCCCGACATTGTATGTGGCGTTTGTTAATGTAGGTTTCATGTAGGAAGTTATAAGTTTTTATGTTCCCAGAGACAGCGAAAAAAGAACTAAACGAATCACAAATAGCGTGCTGTCGTTACATTGGCGACCATACTCATCGATCAATCCTGTGATCGAAGTCGCCCTATCGGTAGTTATACGACGGAGTAATTTTACAGTGCTTTTCCATTGCACACCATCCGTAAGGCGCTTTCTACCACCATTTTAACCCGCTCACTTATAAACGCTTGATACAGGCAAGAGATCCGTGCAACTGTAATAGTAATGAATAGACTTTCTGAAATTCGTAATAACTTTTTGTTTTTAAATTTAGTATCTGGAAGAACACGTGTATCATGTGGGACAAGTAGGGCCGTGGTACGATGAACCTGGTAGCAGAATTGTTCCACTGCAATGCAGACGCTAGTGGAGAGGAACAAAGCATACCAGTTGGAAGACCGGATTACCTCTTAGAAATGCCTTCAATCAATCCCTTCGAGAGTATGATGAATAGCTGAGTAGAGTGTTGTATTCATGTTCATGTAGGAGTTAAGCCGTAGGCATCTTAAGGTCACTGCCAGAGAGATTGTCTAAGATTTCAACTTATGCGTCGGAGACAACCAACTTAAATATTCAATCCAGTATGTTGGCAGATATAGTTGGTATGGTGACACAATGAGTCCAACTCACAATTCTGATAGCCGACAAGAAATATCTATGCAATGAAGAGGATGGTTGTGGTGACCAAGTAATATTCGATAGGTTGAAATCTACTGCGATTATCTTTATTTCCTGTGGTAACACCGGTGCGAAATCAAATGCCGAGGAGATAATAGCGATATCCTTTGCAGTCGCTTTCGAGGAGTTCTAGATGCAACCGAGAAGTATTGTAGACGAGGATGCAATGACTGATAACCATACAGAGTATGGAAAATTGTTTAACTGTGGACAGTTAGGAAGCTTCGCTCTAAAGTTTCGATGGAGATATACGATGCACCCGTCTTCCTTCTTTGTGCTATGATCTTTTCGGAAGGGATGGTAGTTATGAATATGTAAAGTAGTATCCAATATATCAGAGGAGCACCATGTTTTTGGTGAGGAAGATTACATGCTCAGCTGAATAAGCATGCTTACAAAATGCAACTTGTTTTTCATGGATCTTGAGTATAAGTGAAAATGTGTTGCGCACAAAAAGATTTTCTGTGTGTACTTCAGAAGACTGTGAATCAGTAATGACAGACAAAGAAAATAAATGATGGGGTGACGGAAACGAACGGTGGCATGCTCGGGTGTGAAAGCAGTGTTCGCGGTACATAGTGGTACATTATGTGCATACTCTGGTGGAAAGGAAAGATAATCTCGATAAGTTTGATACGTCTAGATTTGGCTGGGTTCGCCATCGCTCGAGCGTACCGATTCAGTGATTTCTCGGTGTACAAAAAGATTGCATGGATGTGGAAACAAGTGTTTTTTCTACCAGCAGGGATGTCTAGGTGAGCGTGTTCATCACGAGCAATGGTAACCGTGACGATGTGCAGTAGAGGTGCGGCATAGTGCGAGGCACTGCCGCCAAAATGAACCAGGTTTGGAGCGCCGTCCTACTTGGTGGGCCGCTGATTGGGCTTAGTTCAAATGCCTATGATAATGTCGGAGGTGAATGAAAGGAGGGGTGTCCAGTGTGTACACTAAAAACTCCGTATGATAAGTTTTGGTTGAGTTATGCGAAAGCAGTATGACCGGAAGGGATTTAAGCAATTCGGAATTCCACAACGCGCTCGGAGGAGACAAGGGTCATACCGACGGAGTGGTATATATTCTCTTGAGTGTACATGGAGATCACCGACTCAGCTACCAGTCTGTAGTGCAAAATAGTCATAATCGGCACAGTTGATGTAAGTCCGTAGACACACATGAAGAGTTGGTATGGGCTGGCATCACAGGGGGAAACAGATATTTGGACGCGGCTTTGTCGGTGGTGATATATGAGGTTGAAATATGCAGTAGCGTCGAATCCAATGGATTACAGCGAAAACTCTCCGATACATTTGTAGAGGATGAGTTGCGTTATTCATGTATCAACCACTCAGTAGGAAGTAGGCAATAGTAAAATTGTGAACTTCAAATTTCAGTTGCCACCTACTGAGATACATCTGTAGACATTAAGTGACAAGAAGTGAGGAGTTTTGATTTGTTGGGACTGCAATATGGTTCGAGGATACAGATCATGGGGTGAACAGTGATATCGCCGCAACATTTCTACGCATAAGACGGCAGAATGATAACAGTATTGGATCAGACAGTGCAGTGCAATAGTGAAGCAGAAGAAGGGAACGAGCAAATCTGACATCGGCATAGGCCTAGTGGGTTGGAGGCTCTGATGCACAGCGAATAGCCCGTGTAAACAAGATACGACGCAATTGATCCACAACGAAAAGGGTGGGTTGGAGGCCAGCGTCTCGTAGTTAATGTGAAGCAGACGCCTACATAAGGTATGAGAGCTTAAGTAAGAAGGTAGGTCCTCGAAAACAAAGTGTAGGAGTCTAGAAAGAGATGAAACTGTAGTTGGAGTGGGCAGTGGAAAAGGAATAGAAAGTGGAAAAAGAAATCCGCAAATAAGTGAGGGACCGGAGGATCGTAAGGAAGCGCTTGCTGCACAGAAGGATTGAGACACAATCCCAATCCGGACCGCGATTCAGGTTGAAATGCATCTCGGCTACTCCGGCCGGCGGGACTCGCATCCGGTTGGGATACGAATCGTAGTTCCGTCATCTC